GATGCCTCTCCACTTTTACTCCTCTTCCGAACCCTCATACAGATGCACACAACCGCCCAGAGATACAGAACTAATGTGAAAAGGAATGTAAACACAGCCTTTCCTAAGTGGGCAGCAGTGACTCCCCAAGGTTAACGAAACAGATCTCCACAAGTATGCAGAGCCTACTAAGTGAGCCTGAAGCTTTAAAATTATCCAATTATTTCATTTTATGTGCATTGGTGTTTTGCCTGCATGCACGTCTACCCGTGTGAGGATGACAGATCTGGAACCAGTCACAGATAGTTGTCACACTGCTATGTGGGTGCTGGGAATTGAATCAGAGTCCTTTGGGAGAGCAGCCAACGCTCTTAACCACTGAGGCATCCCCCAGCCCCAAGCCTAGTGTTCTTTTTTTTTTAAGTTTTTTAAATCTTTAATTTTTTTTAAATTTATTAAAGTTAATTCAGTTTGTATCCCAGTTGTGGGCCCCCCCCCCGCCCCCCCCCCACCCTCTCCCCCCCCCCCCCCCCCCCCCAGTCCACTGATAGGGGAGGTCTTCCTCTCCTTCCATCTAACCCTAAGAAAAGTAAATCTGGTTCCCCAATGCAGCTCTGGCAGGAGCTATCCAGGGTGCTGGATGCTTTCATCCGGAAGCTTTCTAAATCCCAGGCGCGTCTCTCTCCAGGTCGCCCTCTTGGATTCAAGGCCCCATAGCATTAACCTTAACCAGACATCATCTTCCAACCTTTTCCCCTCTTGTCCCCGCTACTCTGTGAGCTAACACAGGCCGCCATCATGTGTGTCTAATTCAACACTGAGCAACTTCTACCCACTGCACTCAGTGTGAAGTGATCGTATGCTTAATGGAGGACAGACAGACTGCGTCTCCACTGTGCCCTGTTGCCTTCTGAGATTACAATGAAAGAGAAATGGTGAGTTTATATGATCCTTTCTCCTTGCACAAAAACCCAATATACTACCTGATAGCTGAAGCTATATTCTGATAAGGTAACTCTGTCCGCAGTCTCTGTGTAAACACATAATTCTAAGCCTGCAAGGATTAATAAATTAACAAAATATTTTGTTTCATTCCTCTGATTTAAATTGGATCCTTTATCCTGCTTTAAAAAAAATACATTCAACTGAGGCCATTACTTAGTATCTTAAGTAATCAAGTTCAAGCACTAAGTGGGGATGGAAATGTGTATGCTTTCAAGTCAAACACTTTGCCTCTTCAGCCAAAACACTTAGAGGGAGAGAATAATTTGATGTATACTCCTTTCTAGCTCTCTTCTTAAGTAACAAGGAAAACAAGCAGAACCTCAGCATCTTCAGGACTTTCCACCCACGAGTCAGACCCTTCACTGTCCTTAAATGTGCTTGAGGGTCACTGTGATTTATAAGCAGCCACAGGAGTTCAGGAAAACTTTTAGTTCCTAGTTACCAAGACTCTGACAGAAAACAGGACTGGAAACCTTTTGCACTTGCCTGCTCTATTCTTTTGCAGAGATGGGAGCCGATGGAGTGTATGGAAACACTATCACGGGGGAAAGAAAAGAAGCGCTGCTCTGTGACAAAGTCTCTGATCACATGCGCAGCTCAGGGACGCCATTATGTAAAATAATGGCGTGTTAACATTGTTAACTCTTGTTGCAAAACTTCTATTGTCTTTCTGGGTGTCAATCATACGTTCAACCACATGACTAAACATTCTTGCCTCCCTCCGCTTTCTCTCCTGACTCATTCTTCAGACTTCATTTGAATCAGTAAAGAGTTCTCAGAAAGTCTTGCTCTCTGTTCTGTGGGATCGAGTGATGTCTAGATTCCTGTGCTAACCTGCAGCCACCTCTACCTTGACATCCGTCACACTGTAATTTAATCGCTGGCTTGTTTATTTATTTCCCACTCAATTCTATAAGCTCAGTGTAAGTGGGAACCAGCTCTTTCCCTGTCTTCATAGCTACAGGTCCATGGACTGTGCTTTGCCTAAAATAATTATCCAAAACATACATGACCTTAATAAATACAGTGACCATAATCATTCTTAGGTCCCATGCTATCTCTAAAACTCAGACTTGTTTCTAGGTTTCCTTCAGAACTCAGAACTCAATAGTTATCTTGTCACAGAAACCTTTTATATGTCCATACCACAATGCGTAAGAAGTTTTTGACACCGGGTAAAAATTGCTTTTTCATGTACTACAATTGTACTGAAATTGTATTTAGTCTGTTATAGAAAATGGATAAAACATATATATTTTGACTATCAAAAATAAATAATTTTTAAAAATATATTTGAACTTGAGATAATGCTATAACATAATGTTATTTATGTACCCTCCTTTTCTTCACTGTTTGTGTAGGTGTATTCTTTTATTTTATTGTTTTCTGCTCTGATACCTTAAGGCTTAAAGTCAACTCTGGGTTTTGTGGGTTGTTTAGCATGCTCCCAATGGTGTGCAAATGTAACGGAAACAATTTGACAATAATATTGCTACTGTTTCCTTCAAGCGCAACAACTGGCAGTTTACAGCCAGCACTAGTCTGTTCCCTCGCTTGCTTTATGTCTGCCCAGGCAGCACTCCATCTGCACAGCCCAACTCCTCCTGTACCATGAAGGTAAGTTGTCCCCAGTTTTCTACATTTTCTGAGACTGCTAAATGTGTCTCACACATTTCTTACTTCCGCCTCAGAACATCCAGACAAATACAGACTAACTTCCTGTAAAGCTAAACTTTAGGTTTAAAAGCCACCTATTTTATTAAACAAACAAACAAACCTCCTTTCATAACACTTAGATTATAGAGATGCAAATAAAAATTAAATTATGGATCACAATCAGATAGCCCATAGGCCAGACCCGGTCAGTTACCTATACTTATAGATATTTGGGTATGTAGTCACTCCCGCTTATTTGCATATTCTCAGACATGATTACTCCCACTTATTTTCATATTATCCCACATAGCTACTCCTGATTATTCCCACTTTTCTGCCCATATTACCAGATCCAGGTGACTGCAGCAAAGACAGTAGGGCATTCACAGGTTAAAATGATTGTTATTTTGACCCTCTAAATAAAAATCTTTCTGACCACTGCCCTAAATAGTGTTGGTTGATGTAAAAGCTCATTCTCACTAAATGACTTATCCAATTGCATATTAAGCATACCCACTAATTATATTGTGTGTGTGTGTGTGTGTGTTTATATGGTAGGGGGACATGGGTGGGAAGATCTAAAGTTGACAACATGTATCTTCATCAATCAATTTTCATTACATGCAGAGTTTGTCTGCTTTAATTGGTCTATCTATGCAGTTTGGGCCGGATATTGCTTGTCTCTGCCTCCCTAGGGCTGGGATTATAGGTAGGTAGACCTGCACCTGCCTGGCTTTTACCTGGGTTCTAGGATTCCAGCTGTGTGTCAAGGGCTTATTCACTGAGTAATTTCCCTAGATTCCAAATACCTGTTTTTAAAAAGCTAATTTTCTTCATTGATTTTTTTTGTTTGTGTAAGCTTATTATTGATGAAAATAATGATAGTTTAGATTTTATCATATCAAAGAAAAAATAAAACCACAAATTAAGATGTTTGTCAAAAGCCCTATAAGGTTTATGTAACTTAAAACCAGATTTAAATTTTATTTTTCTGAATTACAATGGAATCAGCTAATAAAAATTAATAGTCTATGTGTGATACACTCAAAAACAGAGATATATGCAAAGGGTTACTATAGAGAATATCATTAACTTTTGTAGGAACACAGACAAAAGAGTCCACATCTCGCAGCAGAATTCTAAAAGATGTTGAAAGCAATAAGTGTCAAGGAAAATGCTTTTAAAATGGACCACATTGACCTCACAGGCTACTCTATTAAGATATGAACAGCTTTTTAAAATGTTCTTCCATCTGTAGAGGAAAGATAAATAGTGAGTACCATCCCCCGGTCGTTAGCCCATATCAGAGCAGTGAAGAGCCGCAGCCGGAAGTCCCTGAGAATCTCGTCTTGGGTCAGTGTCTATTAATCTAGCAGGCTCTGATTTTCAAGGGGTTCCTTAAGTTCGCATTTCTGTAGAAGGCGCCGCAGAAGTATCCCTCATGTTTCTACACTGAGTTTTGTTTAACCTCTAAAGGTAAAGGAGTAAGAGGAAAGAAAACAGCCCACTGCTAAGCGAAAAATGTGAATTCTGTACCAAAAGTTCCATCAAACCTCTGTCCCTGTCGAGGGGGCTTTAGCACCTACACCTTAGGAGTACAAATGACTGACACCTCCCACTGTGTCCTGTATAATGTAACATACTGGCGTTTCTGAAGTAGTAACAGGATGTAGCTGAGGGCATGTCGGAAGAGCTGCACAGGTCAGCTGGATCCGAAAAGGGGCCGGGGCAGACAGAAGACTGAGACGGTACAGCCGGTGCCTAATAACCGCATGGTACCAATGCTGTGTCCCTCCCATAAGTCAGCAGACACTGAGTCTGCTCAAGCTCGCAAAAGGTCATGTCATGCATTGAGCCAAGAAAGAGATTTTTAA